ATTTTGATTATTTAATTTTCAATAAATTTTTATTTATTGTTACTTTTGTAAGTTTCAAGTGATTTCAGTGAGAATTGTGGGTTTTCCCTTCTTTAACTGAGGGGTACCAACAATTTTGTCCACGTGTGTAGTATATAATATTATATATAATAATATATTAATATATAATATGATACAACAAGATACATATCTATTTTTTCTACTCTAAATGTACCAAAATATGTAATTTAAAAATAAAAATGTTATATCTAATGCATGAAATACAATAAAATGACAATTGACTGATTTAGAGTTACATGACCTTAAATCAAATTTGATACAGCATTTTTAACACAGTTTTACTAAAACATAGAAATTTTAAGTATTTTTAAATTGCATCAACCCAGTTACTATTCCTATTGATGTTTCAGTAAAAAATGTAATGTTTTTCTCATCTTAACCTTTTCAAACTTGGCAGAGTTCTTCTTCAAAAGCCACCTGTGTCCAAATCCTGAGTCATGGCATTGTAGTGTCACTGGAAGGCCCGCTAATGAGTGAATAACTATCCCCTGTTGAATTATCTGTGCACTGCATGTATCTGATTGTATACATCTGGTTTTCAGGGAAATAAATATCGTACTGCTCATGTGGAGGGCTGTAAAACTCATGTATCAAATATGATATGTTTGGCGTTATAGGGTTAAAAAATGTTAAGGGTTTGAGTTGTCACTTGTTAAAGTGCTTTGATAGACTTAGAAGACTGAGGTTTGACATAAAGATAGAGAATTGTCAATGCCCATAAAGCAGGAGAAACAAACACAGACAGGGTTAAAGCCAATGGTTAAGAAGTGGAGGACCATCAGATGATTCAGTAGTATTCTGTCCATTCATATAGTGAAATATTCTTGCTATATTTTGATCCGGATCACAGTACCAGTCAAAATATTCTTGCTGTGCGAGGTGTCTTCAGGCAAGGAATGGAAGCAGCTGGTAGATGGTCGATTCGTTTTAATAGCAAAACGTCAAACAAACGGGTCCAACAATAAAGCAAAATAAACGACTGGAGAAGTATTCAAGGAAATCTCATACAACGGTTGTTAATACGCAAATCCTCTCAAGAATAACTTCTAATGTATCATTAGTTGTTTACGCTTATATACCTGTGTGGGGGGAGTGGTTTTCGACTTCCCGGGTGTGTGTTTAAATCTTGTAGGCCAATGGAAAAAAGAGGCTAGGCCTCTTGTGGCCAATCATATTATTGTTCTTGTATCATGTTATGCCTGCAGTCGCCACTATGTGGCGCTGCTGCTCCATGATTCTGCAGTGTTGGAGGACATTTTTATAACCCTTTTGTTGCTGGGGGGG